ATTTGTTGCAACACAGCATGTACTCTTTTCCACTACTGTTTTGCTACCCTACATGACCACCACATATGATAATAACTTCCCACTTGTGCTTCATATTTCCAACACACATTTGATACATCTGTATACATCTTCGACAGTTTTTCTGGAGTCATACGCCACCTATAAAACATTTTGTATATATTCTCCTTAAAATTAGCCGATCTTGTAAGCTTTATATTATTTTGCCATATTTTCAACCATTGATCAATATCAATATTATGCCCTATGTTTTGTGCCCACTTGATCATACATTCTTTAACCATTTCATCTTGCATTTTAATTTCTAACAGATAGTTATACATTTTCTTAACTATTTTATGTATTGAACCTAATAAAAGCTTATCAGACATCGTTTGTTCTGAGTAGAAACCTTCCTTTTTGTCTTTTGTATATCTAGATTCCAACTGTGCTCTGGACCACCAGACTATATAGATATTCTGTGACTCTAGCTCTTCTTTAGACCTTAATTCACCATCTTTTTAAAATAAATCTTGGTATCTTAAAAGTTTTGCTTTTGTCATAAGATTAGATTGTGTAAAGGCCTCTATAGGTGACACCCATACCGGTATTTTACAGTAGATTTGTTGTAAAAATATGGAACGCTTCACGAATTTGCGTGTCATCCTTGCGCAGGGGCCATGCTAATCTTCTCTGTATCGTTCCAATTTTAGTATATGTGCTGCCGAAGCAAGCACAAGATATTTAAAATGTTAAAAGAAACATCCCATAAATATATATTTCTAACAATGAAGTTACCAGAACTGGCCATGCTGTGTGCAGCATTCACTATCAAAATTGCGTTTGCTATTATCCACAATTTTCAGCATCTGGTGGGAGTCTTTGAACGGATTTCCTGTGCATACAGGGGTCCTACTGTAAAAGGAAAGGAAAAGAAGGTTGGAAGTGGAGACACAGAAAATTGCCACCAATTCACCGTCTTTGATGGTGCAAGGAGCTAAAAACAGTCATCTTGTCCATTAAAACAGGAAAGAAGTTGGGGGAGACATACATTCCCAGTTCCAGTGGAGATCAGTGACTGGGGTGTCAGCTGGGGTGATGGAACCAAGAGGCAAAGCATTTTAAGGTGATTTGGTCATGAGAGGGCAATCGAGAGCCGTTAGCTTTGCAAAAGATCTGATCCTTCACGGAGAGGATAATGCCTGATGCAGGTTTGTTGGGCCAAAACCTCACCCTGGTGCATTTAGGGGACTCTCCTTTGATGGGATAGTGTGGGGAGGGGGGTTGGCACAATGATGGTCGCTACCCCGAAATACAACAGCCTCCGATATGCAGATGATACCACTCTGATGGCAGAAAGTGAGGAGGAATTAAAGAACCTCTTAATGAGGGTGGAAGAAGAGAGTGCTAAAAATGGTCTGAAGCTAAACATCAAACAGAATAACAACCACAAACAAATAAATAAATACATTTATTTATTTATTCAAAGCGGCCTCCCCTTTTTTTCCAGTCCCTCCATGAGGACTAGAAACCTACGTTGCTCTGAAATGGAGGATGGAGGGCAGGTGTTTATTTTTTATTTTTGCACCCTGGCAGGGGTGCCACAGGGAGCGTCTTGATGCAAAACAGTTCCCAGGGCTGGTGGTTTTTTTCCTCTTATGCATTTAAATTTAAAAGCCCCCCCCCAAAAAAAAAACACCCTTTTTTGGGCCAACTCCCCAAGTAATCCTTGTGCCCCAGCACCCTTCCCTTTACTTAGGGAGCAGGAGAAGCCATTCCAGTCATTCTTGTTTCCCAGGTTCAGCTGGAAGGACAGGCCCGGGCATTGGCTTACCCTGGCAACCGTCGCCCTTCAGGTTGCCTGGCAACGGTTGCCGAGGGGAGATTGTTCTCCCGCAAGGCCATTTTTCCCCTTCTTTCCTCCTGGGAAGGCTCGGGGCTCCTCAGCATGGCCTCTGCCTCGGTGCTGGTGGCCCAAGAAGAGGCCGCCGGGCCTTCGGCCACTTACTCTTACTGCAGCCGGCCTCGGGCGGTCCCGGCCCGGCGGCGGTACCGCACCTCATTGGAGCCCAATGACCTGTGAGTAGCCCTTCTGGTCCCATCCTGCAGGGATCCTCCTCCTCCTATGAGAAACTGCCTCTTTTTTGAGAAAGGAAGACTTTTTTAAACACACACACACACGCCCCAATTTTTTTTTGGAGGAGGGAACTACAAATCCCAGCCATGGAGGTACAGCAGGGGTGGGATGCCAGGCTGAAAGACTAGGAACGGGACCTCGCTTGTTGGATCAGTCTGTTTCGGCGGCTGTGATAATAAAAAAAAAATAACCACTGCACCCCAGTGTTGTTACAGCATGGATAGGAAAGGACCGAGCATCTGTGGCTCGACTCCTCGAGACACAATGGTACCCGGATCTGGGCCGCCGGGGGGGGGGATTCCCAAGGGGTTATTTATACATCCCTGTGTCTCTTTCAGGATAAAATGCAAGTTTTACTGATCCACTTTAGTGGGACCTGGCGGTCACTCTGTGATGGAAGGCTAATCAGTCTTGGGCAGAGGAGCAAATGCTAATTTTTAATCCTGATTTCTTTCCCTCCCTCCTCTCTCTACCCATCCTCAATTTCCAGGGAGGAGGAGCCCGTGCGCTATGCAAACCTCATGTACGAGAGACGTGTGGTCCGTGGGAACACCTACGCCCTCCACGTTTTACCGTGGGTAGGTGTGAGGGCTCTCTGAGGAACGAACCCCACGGATCTCTCCGTGGAGGAGACGGGCCCAGCCTTCGTGGGACTCAATCCGAAAGGACGTTAGCGGACACTTGGGCAAAATTCACCAGTGGGGCCCAGGAGGGTGGGGAAGTGGAAACAAGAAAAGCTGGGACTTCCTAGAAAACAGGAAAGAATTAAACATCCACATGCCCAGGGTACTCTGTCTCACGTGGTCCCCTGGAACGGATGGGGAGTTTCTGGGGAGCCTCAGATTTGCACCATGTGGCTCCTGACATACCATGACCCCCATCTTTTAGTGGATCACGTGGAATTCCTACATAAGACAAGCCTCCTTCCTCCCCGGGAGTTTACCCCTAGCTTACCCCCTAGATTATTTTGAAAACTTGTATTTCCAAAACGCTTCCTTTTCTTAACCAGGTTAGGAGGGTGGTTTGTAGCCGCTTGGACGTCAGTGGGCAGCCTCCAGAACTGCCAAGCCAGGAAATATTTTGAGGGGCTTCTTTTTTCCTCCGTTTTTCCAGAGTAGCGAACCGGACCCCCTCGAGTTGCAAAGACAGAGGGAAGCCCAACGCAAAGCCCTCGCCCGGAAGCGGGCCAACGAGCAGCTCCGGACCAGGACCCCCGACCCCTTGGAGGGCCGGCGGCATGTGGACGTACAAACAGGTGAGCGCGCCGGGGGAGAGCTTCGGCAACCACCGAAGGGATCGCAGGCAAGCAGGCGCATCCGC